AGTTTTTGGCTGGGGCCAGGTTTGAACCTGCCACCTCCAGTATATGGGGTTGGCGCCCTACTCCTTTGAGCCACAGGCACCGCCCTAGAGCCTGGTCTTTTGATTTCCCATCATCTCCCCATTCCTCTCACCCATTACTATAATTTGTTACAAGAAAATCTATGGAACTTATTTGACAATGTGAATGTTACTTTCTTTGCATTATTATTATTATTGCTTAATATTTCGATGCAAAAAAAAAAAAGAGAAGAAAATCTATGGAACTTTGATATAAATCTTTCCAAATTACAACATGCCCCAGATAAAGCACTTAAACTAGCCACACTGCTTGGAGTCCAATAAGAAGACATTCTTTAACTCATTAACATGGCAGTCTAACCATGGATAAAAATGAGTGACAAAGCCCCGAATGGTCTTTGTAGGCACAGCATTATCTCTATGGGATCTTTAAAGCTAAGATTGGTAACTCTAGCTACTTAGTATCATCATTGACTCTTGCATACATCTTGGAAAAATATTTGCAAGACCAAATAAGGATTAAGTATTCTCCTAGGCTAAGATATGTAAGGGATGTGATGATCATTTTTAGAAAACATTCAACTAAGGGCCATTCCGTGCATAATGAATCTCCAATGTATAAAAAGTCTACTAAATGTATACATGTATTAAGTGAGTTCATTTGTTTCTAAGATAGTTTCAATTGGTAGCACTGGCTGCTGCCAGAACTATACTGATGGTTAGAAGGCAGCTCCACCACACTGCAAACATTCACCAGCAGAAAAGTACAAAGTAGAACGTGATGTGACTGTAATATGAAACAGCAAAGGAGGTTCATGAGTCAAATGTACTCAAGTCACATTCCATCTCAATCAGGTGCCATTAGAAGAGGTAAATGGAATGTGCAACTCTAAATTTGTGTTCTAGAGCCAGTGGTAATCCTTGTTCCTAAATGAACCAAAGGCTTTCCAATCATAAGGTCAACTAAGATAATATACATGAAAAATACTTTCTAAACAGTAAAAGCATCCATATCATAATAATTTTATTATTCTCAAATTAAATGAGAAGGAATAGTTTCTCAAAGATAATTAGATCTTTGCATAACATTAATTCATGTACCCCAATTTTTAATCTATTCAGGTTGTTCAAGCTTCTTTCTAGAAGATACCGTAGGTGTTTACTTGGGTATGGAAATTGGATCTTTATCACTCTATTGCACGTTTGTATGTCTAACTTGCTTGATGGGAGGACAACCAACAAGCTGATAGGAGAAAAGAAACAGGAGTCACAAAAAAAAATAACAACAAAATGTATTTAAAAACAGACTTCTCCAGTTGGCATTTTGAATGAGATAGTTAACAATTAACTCCACCCTCTATGTTGTGTTTCTTTTGCTCCTGGAGTCCTCTTCCAGCTTTAATTCTTGAAACTCAGGCGGCAGCACCAGACATTAAATCCCCAAAGGGAGAGGTATTAGTAAACCTTTTGCTGGTCATTCTTTTCTGAATGTAATGGACAAATTCTTAAGCCTTCTTATTCATTTCATGACAATCATTAGAAAAAAAATTAAACTAAACTTGCAGATCGAAAATAAAAACAAAAACACAGACAAAAAGTCCTGCAGATAATAAATATCTCTGATTCACTCATTTTGAACAAAGTCCAATTTTATTCCTTCTTAATACCCTTGCAGTCCATTGTATACCTTCTGCACTGATCCTTGTTTCAGCAGCTGTTTGATACCTGAGGAAAGAATAAACAAATAACTCCATTAACAAAAATGTTGCTTCCCTAGAGGTTCTTTTTTTTTAAATCACATCTTAAGTTTATTTATAAACCTATCTTGAATGCTATCAGTTTAAGAGTTTAATCCATTTTTCAGAGACTATACCTCTTAGAATGCTCTTCCTATCTGTTAAATAGATGAATTAAAAACATCTTTATTTCTTAAGCAGCTGGTATCTTACAATCAAGAAAGGTGTAGCAAATCCAGATCCAAACTACAACAAAAATGGCAAATTCTTCTGGGCCCTCCTCATAAAGGCTCCTATGGAGGTTGTGAACTTCCAGATGCTCTTCCAACCTGGTGCTTTTGGAAGAAGCTCTGTGAAAGGCTCAGAGACTGAGAAATGGTGGCACCACGCTCACTTCCCTAGAGTTTAAAGAGCATGTTTTGTGGGAAGGCTCATAAAAGGCCTTATGACAACTGTGGATCTGAATTAACAAATAACTACCCGTCTCCAACTTGACTGCATGTAGACATCCCCACACATGCACATGTGCATCCAAAGATGATCCCCTGTCTCCTTCTCTCAGGCCCACATTCCACAACATACCCCACAAAAACCTAAGAAACGAGGAATGAGAAGATGCAATCAAAAAGGAAAGTCAGCTCTTCAGCTAAGTCTTCCATTCCTCCTCCTTGATCTGCTTTTCTTCACTATCACTTCCCATTTAGGAGCCTCTCTAACCATTCATCATACACATCAACCCCTAACCCTCTAGTCCTTCTCTAATACCTTGTCTTCCTTTTTGAGTTTTGTCTACCTCATTTGTTTTAAGTCATTCTGTTTAAATCTCAGATTTAAAATCCCTAGATTTCAAAGTCCAACTTACACAACCTTTTGTAACAGCGACACAAGAATTTTTTAGCATTGCCTTCTCAGAGAAAGACAAGTCCATTTGTATTCTGTATTCTACTAGTACTAACAGTTGACGTCTTGTCACTGGAGGGTTCTGTGTTTATTGCCACCCTCCTAACAACACCTGCCCCCCAATACATGCTCATTATAGTCCATACCTTCTCTTGCCTCTTCTGTTAACTGTTCTTTTGGAAAATCCACATCAAAAGTGATTATCAAAGAGCCTTTGATGTTGTTGTTGTCAAAGTTGGGGAGCCCTTCTCCCTTCTTCCATAGCTTTGCTCCCGGCCTGGTGATCTTATCCCGGGAGATATGTACCTGGAAAGGAAAAGGGACTGACTGGAATAGGTCTGGCACACCTGAAGTACATGATGCATCTTCTAGTGAGCACTGGTGCACAAAACTACTGTCACTGCTCAGCAAAGAGAAAGGATGAAGAGCCAAAGGAAACGTAGGAGGACAATTTGAGACAAAGAAGAAAGGGTTCCTTAAAAAAGAAAAATCAGGTCAGCAGTGGTGGCTCATGCCTGTAATCCTAGCACTCTGGGAGATTGAGGCAGGTGGATTGCCTGAGCTCACAGGTTAGAGACAAGCCTGAGCAAGAGCGAGACTCTGTCTCTAAAAATAGCCGGGCATTGTGGCAGGCAACTGTAGTCCCAGTTACTTGGGAGGCTGAGACAAGAGAATCGCTTAAGCCAAAGAGTTTGAGGTTGCTGTGAGCTATGATGCCTACTGAGGGTGACAAAGTGAGATTCTGTCTCAAAAAAAAAAGAAAGAAAAAAAGAAAAAGAAAAATCAAACACAAAAACAAGTAAAATAAGTAAGGTTTTACTGTCAAAGGTTGTCAAATCAACTCTGAGTAGCTAAAAACTCTGTGGCACTGTTACTGCTAGACATTCAGCAGCAGAGTGTGGAGAGAAGGCAGAACACAACCAAGAAAGAAGTCCCTGTGGCTCTAAATAATCAAGGCAGCTGATGTAATCTCACAAGTACCCATATGAAGGATTTAAAAGGATCGAAAACAGAAATATCGGTATGTTTACCTTGTGACCATCCAAGTGAGTAATGTCCATCTCAAAGCCAACCAGAGACTCAACTAGTGAGACTGTCACATTTGTGTATAAATCATCGCCTCTCCTTTCAAATATTGGGTGCCTAAAAAAGAAGATAATTAAAAATTATTAATTTTCACTTTTCTTTAAGAAGAAGTCAAAAAGTTGATAGAAAAATCTTAGATAGAGATGAGCATAGTCTGGGTGTGATGGCTCATGCCTGTAATCCCAGCAATTGGGAGGCCAAGGCGGGTAGATTGCCTTAGCTCACAGGTTCAAGACCAGTCTGAGCCAGAGCGAGACCTCATCTCTAAAAAATAGCCAGGCATTGTGGCGGGTGCCTATAGTCCCAGCTGCTTGGGAGGCTGAGGCAAGAGAATCACTTGAACCCAAGAGTTTGAGGTTGCTGTGAGCTAAGATGCCATAGCACTCTACCAAGGGTGACCAAGTGAGATTCTGTCTCAACAACAAAAAAAGATGAGCACTATTCTTTCAAACAATAAGTATTATCAGACATGCTTTTGTGTATAGTATTAATTGAGACTATAAAATCATATAAGTCTTATTAAATGCTACTCTTAAGGAGTTTATAATTAACAAAAGCCAAAGTACTTGAGTAAAACTATAACTCATCAGATTATGCAAAAGGAGAGAGACAACTTCTAGCAGTAGAAGCTAGAAAGACAAGCATCTGGAAAGGATCTGTGGAGACTTTCTGAACTGGTCTTGCAAGGCCAGGTCAGCTCTGGATGCAGACAAGGCAGATGTGAAGAAAGGGGGAACTCTGGCAAAGGCAAGGACTTAAGAAGGTACCAGTTTTGTTCAGGGAAGAGCACACATTCCAGTCTCTCTTGAGAAGTAATGAGAAAGAGAAGGTAGGTAAGGAAAGCTGGAGAAAAAAATCATTGAGATTAAAAAGCACAGTGAGGGAAAGTCTTGGGCAGTGGTGGGTCATTTTTCCATATTCCAGTGGGAATTTATTTCAATGAATCCTTAGGTATCATTGGTTTCCAAAGTGGTAACAGGAGAGAAATAAAAAACACGAAAGCCTGAGTCTCAGGCAAAACTCTCTAAGCAGTAGATCATACATAAGAGAAGCTCACAAAAAGCTCTCTCCACAGAAACTGTATACTGTGTAATAAACATAGATGGTCCTTTCTATGAAAAGGTCTCTCATTCTTGTATGATGCTGCAGCTTCTCAGCTAAAATCTCAGCTCTTCTTGACTCTGTATTTGTTTGCTTCTCTTTTACAATTTACTTGTCTTACCAAATCTTTCAACATCTTTTGGATTTGTGAGTCTTAAGTAAATAACTGGGGCTCAATACTAGGGGCCAACCCCAAATTTTCAGTAGCAGTATTGAAAAGTTACAAATAGTCATTTAGCATGTTAAGGGCATGAAACAGAAAAATGCCTGGTGGTGGCTACCCACCTCTCTATAATCTGACTCATCCGAAAAGCTGGGGCTAAAGAGAAGGCCTCTAAAATTAGAGCACTTACTTGACAACTTTGATTCGGAACCGTAAGTCTCCAGGCTCCCCATCCACATGAGGCTCACCTAGTCAGAGGAGATCATAGCATATTAGTAGTCACACAAATTGGACATCACAAATCTACCTGGCAATTGAATCAACTTTTTAAAGCCACTACCTTAGGCATTGAATCTGCCAAGGCTATCTGTGAGGCAGTGTATATGCCTGTTATATCAAGTTTTAGATTATTACGAAGATTACCTGTGCCTTGGACACAGGAATGAACAACTTGACATAATTTCCTAAAAACAAAAAATGACTCAATGGTTTCTTGAATCTGAAGTCTTTTAAAGCTTTTTTTTTTCTTTTAGAGTTTTAAATTTAAGTCCAAAGGTGAGGTCTGAGAGCATCTAGTTAATACCAAGTAGAGCTATATATCTTCTTTCATTGCTGTATTAAAATTAATGCATTAAGTTCTGAACAACCTAAATTATGATGAAACTTAAAACTTAAGTCAGTCCTTTTGGTCATGATATTCGAAGGATAAACAGTAATGCCACTACTTCAGGTGGCTAGCCATGATAGTCATATAGAAGTTCTGTAGTTTGTTGTTGTTGTAGGGATTGACCAGAGTTCTGTATCTTAAACCTGGCTGAAGACTCGGCACCTATAGCTCAACTGGCTAAGGCGCCAGCCACATACACCTAAGGTGGCGGGTTCGAATCCCCAGCCCAGGCCCGCCAAACAACAATGACGGCTGCAACCAAAAAATAGCCGGGCGTTGTGGCGGGCACCTGTGGCCCCAGCTACTTGGGAGGCGGAGGCAGGAGACTCGCTAGAGCCCAGGAGTTGGAGGTTGCTGTGAGCTGTAATGCCACGGCACTCTACCCAGGGGGACAGCTTGAGGCTCTGTCTTAAAAAATAAAAAAAAACCTGGCTGAAGAGTTTGGAAATTATATATACATTTACTCTGTAAGGTAAAGGCAAGAGGTAATCGGAAGCAAGCAGGGAGTTACAGTAATAAAACATCAAGTATCAGTATTTCACCTTCTCCAATAAAGGGGTACTCCATGCCATCTCTCACACCAGGTTCTATTTCTACCTCTAGTGTTCGTTCTTCATTCACCAATCTGATACAAAGAGAATTAAAAAAGAAAAAAACAATGAAAACACAAACAAACCCCAGATACAGATAGTTAAAGTTTTATCTATTTTTTCAGAACTTTTTCCAGGGAGATTACAGTGTGCCTACTTGACACAGTCATCTGATATCCATCTACTTGTTAAAATTCAAAGCAAAACTACTACACACTATATAAACGCATAAGATTGATCTAATATTTCAAATAGAAAAAAAATGAAGTGTTAACCCTTGCTATATATTATTCAGAAATAAAGTGCACTGTTGGTTAGTTTAGAAACATAGAACCTCCATAGCTGACCCCCTCGTTGCATTGACCACCTCTAAGTTGGTTCTAATTTTCATAGACTGGACATGAACCAAATGTATATCATCAGTACAGCAGGCCTACTTCCTTGTGTTGACCAGCTCTGTATGCTTGGGTGGTCAACTTACAGACAGAGGTTTTACGGTATTTGGAATACTTCAGGAAAAAATAAAAACCTCCTTTTTAGTTTCCTACATCCTTTTATAGAACACGGTGGGGAGAGGGAGAGAGAGGCAGGAAGGGAGATGTAGGTATGTAACACTAGCATTTTTATTAGACAAATAAGAGTACAGTGTTTCTCCATGGAACAAAGAAGGTGCTTTCACTTACTTGACATTGGGGCATTCATCGCAGACCACTTCCTGGGTCATTTGGAAGCGCCCAGGGCCCAGCTGGGTGGTCCGCATCTCTTGCCGACAATTGCATTTCCGTTTGCCTGGAGCCTGCCTTGCCACAGGTTTGTTTCTAACGACCTGAGAAGTGCATAAACAGTATCAGCTTCTCTCTCACGCAAAACAGCTGCTTTTCCCTCAGCCACTCAGGGCTCTGCACACCTGCCCAGACCGAAACTTCCCCTTCTCCTGCAAGCTATCCCACAGGGAGACCTAAAACAGAGTTCTTTGAGGAGGACAAATTAGCCCCGAAACAGGAATGAAGCAAACACATACTTAAATGACTCAAATTCTAAAGTTGTAGAAGAGAGAGGGGAGTAAAAAAGAACCAAAATAAGATGCATGATGGAAGCATTTCTAAGCCACAACTAAATGCTACTGAGCTAAAGTATTTCATAGAATCGTTATCTTTTTTTGGGGGGGGGTTACCCAAACTCCTTTATTTGATGGAGTGTTACAATTGAAAGAGCTTAAGTGGATGTTTTGGTACAACTTACAGAAAAGGTAAAGGAAACCCCAACATGCATGCCCTGCTTTGGTGACCGTGGAAGTAACCTGTGAGTTAATCTGAGGCTGAGCTGTCATTATCACTGTGTCCCAGCATGTGCTTTTCAAGGAGACACTCTTCCATCCAGATTCAGGGGTTCCCATCTCGTGCAGGTGGGTTATGTGATCACTACTAGAACTACACAAACTGGCCACTGACAAAAAATGACCCCCACTTGTGTGACTTCTTTGAGACACATTACCAGAATCATTATCTTTTAAGAAATCTGCACAGTGTAAAGCATACTAACAAACAGTGTGGCCACCAACTAATCCAGTGAATAACCTGATAAAAATGCCTCCTTGCCTCTGGCAACTTAATCCAGGACTATTTTCCTTTAATACGTAGGAAAAGACACAGCCACGATCTCTTTATAGCTGACTGCAATCAAACCTTCTGATCCCTCTAAGTAAGTGAAATTAATATATACGAAGAAATATATTACTATTTTTGCCTGTTTTAGTCTAACACCCATTACAAGGTACGTTCTCGTGCCACAGAATGACATGATACTTGAAGAAAAATCCTTTAAAGCCTAGTAACCAGATGAAAGCCCAGGTCAACAGAAGAAATTATGCCAATAACAGTAATTAGAGCAAACACTTTATGATGCTTACTACACGCCAAGCAAAGCTCTAAACACATTTACATATGCATTTAGTCCTCACAACTTTATGAGGCAGGTACTATTATTATCTCATTTTTAGAGATGAAGTAATAAAAGTATAGAAAAGTTAAGTAACATGAGCAAGGCCATGTACCTAATGTATGGCAGAGCCAGGAGCTAAACTAGGTAGCCCAGCTCACAAGTCCACACTTCCAACCATCATCCTAGCCTATCTATCTCTCAAGGTAATTTTTTCTTAATAAAAGAATTTATCATGGAGTTATTGAAATAGCAAAGACATTACAACCTTTACAATAATTAGATTAAAAGAAAATTTAGGAACACACTGACAACAAAAAGGGATGTATACTATGTACTAGTGACTGCAGAACAACAGGTCTAGAAGGGAACGTGAGAGTCAATAAGGCTCACCTCTTTTCTCTCATCTAAACAACCTCTCCTGCTTATGGAGAGATGGCTCAAATATTTTTAACGCCCTTTTCTCCTATCCTGCAGCCTGAACAACAGTACTACAAGCTACAAGCATGTTTTGTCCTCTTCTTACAACTATTCAGAGCAAAAGCTACGAGTAAAAAAAAAAAAAAAAAAGTTTCTTGTCAAGAAGGCACATACGCATAGGTTACTGGGTGTCCCCAACAAAATCCTGGAAAAAGCACAAGAAAACATGGATTCTAAGAAACAAAAATGGTAACACAGAATAAATGAGCAAATCCCAGAGATAGAAGGTCGTTTTGAACTGATAAGTGTGTAGTGTGGTAGCTTCTACCTGGACAACAGTAACTAGTGAGGGCAGAGAGAAGATATTAGATAAAATATCTAATATAAAAGGCGCCTGCCTCTCCCCTGAACTGCCTGAGGACAAGCACTGTTTGACTCCTCTTCAGAGAAGGAGAAAAAAAAGACTCAGATACCAAACAAAACCTACAACACCCCAAACAAACAAACAAACAAATAAACAAAACACAGGTGAAACCACTGGGCGAGGGCTCACCCCAAGATGCTCTACAGGGAAATGTCATTGCTAGAACCCACAGGAAGCATGAGCTCACACAGCAAAATAGCCAGACACCTGAGGAGTTCAACTGTCTGTCCCTGAAAAGACAACAAACTGGATAACACATATATTCCAAGCAAATGTGCTACAGAAGACATACCAGGAGTTTAAAATGAGCAAGATGTTAATTAAGGAGGAAGGAAGACATTAGCATAGTGAAAGAGTAAGAAACAACGTAAGAGTTAAATAGAAATATTATGTATAAAAACACAAGTTGGGCTGGTGGGAAGATAGTTATATTATTTGATTGTTCACAGTCAGTTACAGATGGAACTCTTTGTTTGACTTCTATGAGTTGAAATTAAAACACAGCAGATGGGATATTATTAGAATGGATATAGCTAACAATTGAATTAGTGAGCTAGAAGATCAGAATGAGGTACTCTCCCAAAAGGAAGCAGCAAATAAAGGATAAATAGAAATTATTTTATATATATATATATATATATATATATATTGCAGTTTTTGGCCGGGGCTGGGTTTGAACCCACCACCTCCGGCATATGGGGCCAGCGCCCTACTCCTTTGAGCCACAGGCACTGCCCTGTTTTTTATATTTAAAAGTTAAGAGTAGATAGTAGTGGGTGGCACCTGTGGCTCAAAAGGGTAGGTGCCAGCCCCATATGCTAGAGGTAGTGAGTTCAAACCCAGCCCCGGCCAAAAAAAAAAAGAGTAGGTAGGAGTGACAAAGGAGAGAGTTAAATATTTGAAAAAACATTAAGGTATATTTTCCAGAATTAAAAACAGACGAATGAACTTAGAAGATTATAGTCAGTAGAAAATACAGACGAGGCTCGGCGCCTATAGCTCAACCGGCTAAGGCGCTAGCCACATACACCTAAGGTGGCGGGTTGGAATCCCCAGCCCGGACCCGCCAAACAACAATGACGGCTGCAACCAAAAAATAGCCGGGCGTTGTGGCGGGCGCCTGTGGTCCCAGCTACTTGGGAGGCGGAGGCAGGAGACTCGCTTGAGCCCAGGAGTTGGAGGTTGCTGTGAGCTGTAATGCCACGGCACTCTACCCAGGGGGACAGCTTGAGGCTCTGTCTCAAAAAAAAAAAAAAAAAAAAAATACAGATGAATAGCTTTCTTACTTTATCGTTACAATTTTTTTAGAGACAGGGTCTCACTATCTTGTCTAGACTGGAGTGCAGTGGCTATTCAGAGATGCATTGTGGCACACTGCAGCCCCAAACTCCTGGGCTGCAAGTGATCCTCCCACCTGAGACTCTAGAGTAGCTGGAACTACGGCCGCCCGCCATTGTGCCTAGCTGCTATCTTATTTTAAAAGCAGAAGTGAATTTCTTAAATAATAAATAAAAACTAACTATAAAAGACTGATGGATTTGATCACATTAATTTAAACTAATTCTATTCATTGAGATAAATCTTAAATATAATAAAAAGCCAAGTTATGAATTGATAGGATGTATTTGTATTACATATAGCTGACAATAGATTAGCAGCAAGACTGAAAGGCAAAAGAAAAATGGGTAAAGACATGAACAGGTATTTCACACAAGAGGAAACAAATAAGGGCAATAAGCACAGGAAGAGATTCTTATTATAACTGGCAATCAAGAGAATGCAAAACAAGACCACAATGAGAGAACATTTTATACCCACTTGATGATGAAAAATTAAGAAGTCTAATAATTCCAAGTATTAAAGAGACCAAATCTATAGAATGCTTTATAAATTGCTGGTAGAAGTGTTGGTATAATTAACTTAAAAAAATTTGATATAATCTTGTAAAAGTGAACATTGGTTCATATTACTCAGAAATTCCATTCAATCTATCCAAAGATATTCTTGTTCACTTGAACCTGATAAATGTATAAGAATGTTCATTAAAAACAATGTTTGAAATTGAAAAAACCTAGATGCTTATTAATAAAATGTGGTGATAATAAAATTTCATCCAGCAGAGTTATAGCTAAAAGCACCAATAAGGATAAATCCTAGTAAAGTAACAGTAGGTGAAAAAAGCCAGCTCCAGAAGATAAAGAACAATACACTATTTTTACAAAGTCAAAAGCAATGAAAATAAACAATATACCATTCAGCTATTTTTATATACATTATAAAACAAAATAAGAATGGCAAAGGAATAACAAAGACAAATTCAGAATAGACGCTACCTCTGAAGGGAGGCAGGAGAATGGAATAGAGAAGTAGCATGAAAGTAAATTAAGTTATGGAATTGTTTCACTCAGTTCTTGGGCTGGGTGGTAAGTTCATGAAACAATGACGTAAGTCTATCATAAGTTAATCATTATGATTAATTCAAATCTATTCATCTGAGTAACCTCTCTCCTCTAAAAGAAAGAGAAGGTACATAGAAATCTCTCATTTTAGTAAAAAGTACAAGTTCTGGAAGCCAACACGAGTGGCTGTATTGATTATACTTACCTCCACAAAATTTCCTGCATACACTTCTTCCAAAGTGACTTCTAGATCTACAATAATATCACTTCCTCTAGGAATATTTCTGTCTTGCTGACGAGGGGTTCCTCCGAACATAAAACCAAAATCTCCAAAGAAACTGTATAAAAGTGTAAAATAATCAGGAAAAGAAACCAGAGTTCACGTTTTATAATTATTTTGTTTTCTTCACAATGATAGAATACTGTTTCCTACCAATGCATTATGCAAAACTGAAAGTTATTTTTAATACATTGGGGTCACACACCATACACAATTTTTAATTTATACACTGCCAACTATACTGCAACTATGTTTTTGTACCACCCCCAAAATTATTTTTTAATACAATATGGCTCATATAGAGAGCACAGTATATACACAGTATGCCAAATGACTTCAACATTGGATTCAATGAAATAGTCTATTTCAATATTTGGAAACTCTGGTTATTGGGCATGCTGAGAAAAAGTGTAGTATATAACACTAAACTTAATAGTTAATTAAGGAAGTTTTAACATATATAGTGTTCCCTTTATACAAAGAAAGAAGCTATTGCTCTGTATGAAAACCTTGGGTATGTAATTAAGTAAGCATTAGTCTTAGTAAAAATTCTTTTTCTAAATTTCAGAATAGTAGGAGGCACGTGTTTGGATTCCATACTTTGTTTTCGTATAGACTGAGTCAAAGTTATAAGTGTGCTCTTCACCTGGAGAATGCGCAATGTACCCAACAGATGTGAATTTACCTATCCCTTCCTCCCCCCAAATGCTAGTTATTAAGGAAAAGGAAATTCTAGCCTCTATAAGACCAAAATTAATTTCTGTAAGTAACAAAAGAATCATTTTTAACATTAATAAGAACAATGACCTTTTTTTTTTTTTTTGAGACAGAGCCTCAAGCTGTCCCCCTGGGTAGAGTGCCGTGGCATCACTGCTCACAGCAACCTCCAACTCCTGGGCTCAAGCGAGTCTCCTGCCTCTCCCTCCCAAGTAGCTGGGACCACAGGTGCCTGCCACAATGCCTGTCTATTTTTTTTGGTTGCAGCCATCGTTGTTGTTTGGTGGGCCCGGGCTGGATTCGAACCCGCCACCTTAGGTGTATGTGGCTGGTGCCTTAGCCACTTGAGCCACAGGCGCTGAGCCAGAACAATGACCTTTAATTATGTGGCTGTTTTAATCTTAATTTTTGATATTATTAAAAAGCCTCAGAAATTAGCACAGTGAGGATGACAACAAAATGACTCCCTCTTCCACCAACCAGCCCTAGAGAATAAATTTCCTGAATCTCAAATAAAAGCAAAAAGGGAGAATGAAATGGAGATTATTGGAGCTTTTTCTCTTTCTGGCATCCCTAGGTATCACTTCGGATGGCCAAGGGGAACAGGACACTTCCTTAGTAGGCTGAAATAGCCAAATTAATCCTTAGGAAGTGAAAGATATCCTACTCATATTACTCACATATCTTTACAAGTCCTAAAAATCTACTGTCACTCTCAAGCACTAAATGGGGAAAGCTAATGAATTCAACAGTGATTCTTCTTTTGGAGAAGAGTCCAAAGAACACTTTGAAAATCTGAAGAAAACAATGAACTCTTTCTCCATAAAAATGGAGTTTAGAAAAAAAAAATGGAGTTTAGTATCTTTTTGTTTATAACTTCAGATCTGAAACCTTAGATTAAGATCTCGTAGTATACAGCATCATCAGGGTATATGGAAATTCAAATGCTCAACAAAGAGGGGTTCTAAGACAGAGAAGGAGGAAAGGTGTTTATATTACAACCACTAGCACTCCCAGAAGGCAGGAGATAAACAGCCTTTATCCTAACCCCTCCCCTCAGTGCTGGTTATCATAACCATCTCTGACTTGTTGACAGGATGAAAGAGAAGCAGTTTTGGGTACAGGAAGAGGAATTTTTCTCTCTCTCTGCTTAGAGTAATTTTGTTCATTACAGGCTCTGCAGATTCCAAGATAGCAAGTAGGTGATGACAAACTGATTTCCAACATAGACCCGCCCCCCATAATGGTCAGGATTGATTTGACTAACACGGTTGGCTAGATGGATAGCTCTTACAGTGTTATCTGTCTTTCCTGAAGCTTTGTGAAAACAGAAGACTATCTTCCCACAAGGAAGACAATAATTGATTTTTGGATCAGTTGACTTGTACTCTTCCTCAGAAGCTTCTGAACTAGGGAGTGAGTATAATTCTTTAATAATCATTAAGTGACCCAGTCTCAGATATTAATACTTTGTAGATGGGTAAATTACTTACTGTGAAAAAATGTCTCCATGGGAGCTCTGATGACCATCTTTTAATCCTTCTTCACCATAAGTATCATACTGTTTCCGTTTCTCATTATCTGACAGAACCTGGGGATAAAAGCCAGGGGAGGAAAAGAGCATGAGTGGCTAATGTGCAGTGAAGGCACATTCATGTTTGAGTTTTTATCCCTTGGCAATCTCCTAGTGTGTACACGTGTGAATTTGGGTGTGGGAGTAATGCAGGTATATGGTGTCCTGCTATTTGTAAGGCTATCCTCACACACACCTAAGATTTCAGTGGAATGTAGTTTTCATTATGTATGTTTATAAAGTTATTTTCTCTAATTCTAACAGGCCAAATTATTTGATGCATTATTAATTCCACACTGCTCAAGTCATATTTTTAAAGTTATCAAAACTCACCTAGTCACTTAAATATTATATCAGAGGTTAGTGATATGACTGTGAAGGTCAGAGCAGTAACAGGAAAAAAAATGAGATGGATTCCTCAGTTTGCTTCTCATGAAGTTTGAGTCTAGCACTTATGCTATTAGTCACCATACTAAATTCTTTCTCTAAACTATAAATTAAGATATGACTACAACAGATCATCATTAGTGATAATTAGGATAGCCTTACAAACAGCAGGACCCCATGTATCTACATTACTCCCACACTCAAATGCACACGTACACACTAGGAGATTGCTAAGGCAAAGGATCAGATGACCAGCTTCCAGACAGGTCTATTCTGCTGTATTTTCATACTTTTTCTTTTTTCATTTGTAGAAATCCATTTGTAGAAAAATGCTAACTGCCTTTCTTACATATATGTACATATACATATGTTTAAGTTTGTAATCTCCTGAGTTTGAACTGCAGAGAAGGTAATAGGCCTTTGAAAATTAAATAGTTCTAAAACCTTCTTTTGATATTTATAAGCTCCCATGTAAACAAAAGACTGAAGGAGAAAGTTATTTCAAAACCATACTCGTGGTGGTCTAAGAAAAGAGAGTTTGAAACTAGATGGGGCTCACTGACTCCATAGACATTCAGCAAAAGAAAAGGAAGACATGACTGGCATATTCAAAACACACCTTTGGCTCAGGGCCCACGTGATATGTAAGGAGTCATGACAAAAATTTATTAACATTTAAGATATACTTAGAAGGTCAAAGAGAAATTGAATGTACAAAAGGGTGAGCATAGAGTGCCATGGTGCTATAGCTCATAGCAACCTCAAACTCTTGGGCTCAAACGATTCTCTTGCTTCAGCCTCCCAAGTAGCTGGGACCAAAGATGCCTGCCACAAGGCACAGCTATTTTTTCTTGTTACAGTTGTCATTGCTCTTTTAGCTGGCCTGGGCTGGGTTCGAACCCACTAGCCTCGGTATATGTGGCCAGCACCCTACCTGTGCTGCCCAGGGTACACATTCTTAAAAGCAAAGACAAATGGGTAGTCCAGAAGTGACCACAGTGGTTTGACTAAAGTTACCATGATAGACCAGAAGAGAAAAAGAAATGTTTTGGCAAATATCTTTAGAAAATAGGTACTTTGAGGAAGCAGAAAATGGTCAAGGTTAACTTAAAAAAATACAAAAACAAAAACCCTACAGGTGCTGCCCAGGGTACACATTCTTAAAAGCAAAGACAAATGGGTAGTCCAGAAGTGACCACAGTGGTTTGACTAAAGTTACCATGATAGACCAGAAGAGAAAAAGAAATGTTTTGGCAAATATCTTTAGAAAATAGGTACTTTGAGGAAGCAGAAAATGGTCAAGGTTAACTTAAAAAAATACAAAAACAAAAACAAGGCTCTGTGCCTGTGGCTCAAGCAGCTAAGGCGCCACCCACATGCACCTGAGCTGGTGGGTTTGAATCCAGCCTGGGCCGGCCAAACTACAATGACAGATGCCACCAAAAAAATAACCAGGCATTATGGTAGGCGCCTGTAGTCCCAGCTACTTGGGAGGTAGAGGCAGGAGAATCGCTTGAGCCCAGGAGTTGGAGGTTGCTGTGAGCAGTAATGCCACGCGCTCTATCCAGGGGGACAGCTTGAGGCTCTGTCTCAAAAAAAAAAAAACAAACTCTTATTATTACATGATCTGGATTTCTAATATTTTCACTTTCAAGGAGACAAGTAACCTTGTCTTGGCAAAGAAACAAGTCTTGCATTTGGGTCTACAAAATAAAAACAACATTTCAACACCCCAAACAGTACTTAATTTTAAGTTAGTTTCTTTTTGAACATCAGAGGCTTCTGTATTCCCTAAGATGTACCCCAAATCTACCCTTCAAGTCAATTATTATCAGTCTCTTTCTCCTTACTTTTCTTCTGTCTCAGGAATTCAATTTTATTCCATGGTCTTGTAAATAACTTTATTTTAAAAAGAAACAAAGATTCTCAGTTGATTAGTCAACCAACACACAGATTCTCAACTAATTAAAATGCCAACAGTAATCCCAGCTCTGTAGAGAAAACAAATTTCTGTTCACAAAAGGCTCTTCATACTGTACCAGGATTCTGATTTATGAACACTAATTTACTGAAGACAAAAGGCAATCAAGCTTGAATGATAACAAAGAAAAATTGAACTAGTGACTAAAAAGGCTGTTAGAGTTAAGTGCAATTTCATGAGTGACCTATGTGTAGCCTGCCATGGTTATGGATAAAGAACACGAAAAACTCAGCTTCCCTAGAAAATATCTTGAGTATTAGGTTCTTAGCAAACAATGGACAGTGGGACTATTCATGAGAAATACAGTGTAACATAAGTAATCCATATTATCTTTTTTTTTAATTTTTTTTTTTTT